TTGTGTGTGAGCGGGTGCTTGTGCGTGAGTGCGTGTAAAACATTTAAACCGACAGAATTAAAAACTTTTTAAAACCGCAGTAAAAAAAAAAGTTAACCTTTTCCATTAGTGGATTTTTTGTGTTTTTTTTTTTTTTTTACTCGTATGAGATTTTTTTTTTTCCCCCGATCGTAAATTTCATCCGAACGTAATAAAAATTTAAAAGGTCTTTGCGAACGGTTTTTTTTATGTTTTCGGTTTTTCGGTTTTCGAACGTCGTCCCATTTTTATTATTTAAAAAAAAAAAAATTATTTACCTGTGCTAAAGGCCATGTTCTTTTACCCCAACCGTTACGTAAATCTCCCCAAGATCTTTTACCCCAACCCATACTTTGCATATCTTTCCACCCTCTTTTACCCCATCCACCGCTTTGTAAATCTTTCCATCCTTTTTTAGTCCAACCGTTTTTCCAAAATTGTTTTTCTTCTTCCACGTCGTTTGGAATCATGGCGGATTGTTGCTGTTAAACAACGTAAATATCAATATTATTATTATGTTTGTTTCCACCCTTTTTCCCCGGGAAAATAATAATAATAATAATCGAACCTGAGTACTTCCTTGGATTGACGATGATGATGATGGCATATCATCCTGTTGTAAATGACTAAGTGTCTGTGATCCTGGATCTCCTGTTGTTTCCGATAATATGGTTAATACTAAAAACGTTGAGGAAAAAATACTTAATACAAAAGCATGATGCATCCTTTTTTTTCTAGAACAAACAAACGAACAAACAAACACAAATTATTTTTTATTAACTTATTAATATTCTCAAAATGTTTTTTATTTTCTCGAAAAAAAAAAAAAATCACTTTTGGAATTTTAAAATAAATAATAAACGAATTATTACAACGGAGGGGAGGAGGAAAGAGGGGGAGGGGTCGGTCCCCCTCTTCCCTCATCGCTCCCTTCCCATTTTCATATTGACATCATCAATTTAAAATTATTATTTTGTACAGGAGTATGAGAAAAGTTAAAAAAAAAAATTTGAATTTCCCGCCATTTTTTTTATTTTTATTTTTTTTCAAAATAATGAAATTAAACAAAAAACGAGACGTTCGCGGGGAGCGAACGGTTGAGGATAGGGGGAGGGTTTAAAGGGAATTATCAAAAAAAAAAAATTAAATTAAAAAAATTACGCGGCGTGAAATGAAAGGTCAAAGACTTTAAAAAAAAAAACGTCTTGATTTAAAAAGGTACCAGCATGTTTTTGTTTTGATCATCAAATGATTTCTTCTGCTTTTTTTTTTTGCTTATACGTCTGTCTCACTCATTCTCTCACTCTCTCTCTCTCTCTCCTTCTCTTCTCCTCTCTCTTTGGAAATATTTTGCGAAATGAAAAAAAAAAATAATTAAAGTAAGATCATATTTGTTCGTGTGACAAGACAGTAGACAGGTACGCAGGTACGTACGCACGTTTGCCACGAGTTATGAAATTAATAATAATAATAATAATAATAATAATAATAATAATAATAATAATAATAATAATAATAATAATAATAATAATAATAATAATAATAATAATAATAATATTTTCAGAGTTATTTTTTGTTTTTACTCGTAAATTATATTCATTTTTTTATTCGTTTGTTTGTTTTAAAATTTATCAAATGAAAAAAAAAAAAAAAAACATTCTAATGCCACGTTAATTAATATCACCACCGTCATCATCATCATCATTATTGTCTTTTCGTGAGAGTGGGAAAAGAGAAAGAAAAAGAGAGAGAGAGAGAGAGAGAGAGGTAAAGCGGACAAAGTTTTCAAATGAGTTTTTTTTTTGTCTCCGTTATAATTAAAATAAAATACTAATAATACTAATAATAATGATAATTGAAAAACCTGTTTGAATTGAGTTTTTTTTTTTTTAATTTTTTTATTATTTAAGAGACACTCGTTCCCTTCTCTCACTCCTCCTCCCCTCCTCTCGCCCCCCACCAGTTTTATTACGAAATATTTTTCTAATAAAATAAAAAAAAAAATTCTGTCATTCAAGTATTCAATTAATAAATAATTAATTAATTTTTTTTTTTCAAATAAAATTTTCGTACTTATGTATTATAAAATTATTTATTATTATTATTATTATTATTATTATTATCATTATTATTATTAAAGTATAATAAAAAATAAATAAATAAATACATAAAAAAAAGGGGAGACAGAATAAAAACGACGTCGTACAAGTATAAGTAGTATACATTTATATAAATATTTCATTTTATATATTTTTTTTATTAGTATAATAATAATAATAATAATGATGATGATGACGATGATAATATTTAATAATAATAATAATATTAATGATAAATATATATATATTATTATATTTTATTAAAAAAATAAAACGTCAAACATTCCTTCATTTTATTTATATTTTTACATGGTTTTGATATATATATATATACTTTTTTTTTCCTTTATTATTATTATCATTATCATCGTCATGTCGTTCTTATTATTATTATTCGCATTCGAGTGTTTAACAAAAGCGGGGGTTTTACGGTTTTTTTTTGTTGTTGTCTTTTCCGCCCACGATTTTTTTTACTTTTCTTGTCGTTCAAAGCGACGTATGTCGTTTGTTACACGGTTGTTATGTTTTTTGTACAAACATCGGCTATTAAAAACACGATTCGATTTTGAAATTGTTTTGAATATTTTTTTTTTTTTCAATTTGGCAACACTTGTTTTCTTTCGAAAATTGTTTCATTCGAATTCGGCGGAATCGAGCAGGAAAATTTTTGAATTTCCGGTTGGTTGCGGATAAAAATCTTTGGTGAAAAATATAAAAGAAAATCTTTTTAATATTAATAATAATAATAATAATAATAATAATGTAAAGAAAATTTCGCGAAAATTATTTGTAAAAAAAAGAAAAGAGAGGGCGGGATAAAAAGGTTTATCAGGGGAAATATACAAACCGGAAATGAATGGGAAAATTTAAATCGGCTTAACTTTAATAATTTTTAATATTTATATTATAATACAAAAAAAAATTTTTTTTCCTCTTTTAATTTATTATTAATATCATTCCTCCATTTTTTTTTTTTTAATTATAATTTACTTTCCGTTATTTCCAAAAAACAGCAGAAGACAAAACTTCTTTTTTTTTCATTTCAAAATACATCACGAAATCGTTTTCGTAAATAAAATAATTTAATAAATTAATAACGACACAAAAAAATCAAATTAAAAAATTTTTTTCGTCCAGTTTT